CACTACTCCGAGTTGAGGCTACTGAAATGGACACCTACGAAGCTGTGGGCATGGAAACCTAATTTTGTTGTCTGGGGACATGTGCTGCATGTGGAACTGGATGATAACAACAACAACAACTATATATATATATATATATATATATATATATATATATATATATATAGGGTTGAGTTCAAATGAGGACAACAATATATAGAGGACTGTGAGGAAAAATAATGGGCACACAAGAATACATGTAAGTATCAGGTTTCGAACCCAGGATCTATTAATTAACAAATGTATGCACGCGACATACAAACTGTGGCACACGACTACATTCGGTCATGCACACAACATACAGGCTAATGGCACACACTACATCTGTCCTCACAGTCCTCTATAATATATTTGTCCTCATTTGAACGCAAGTGTATATATATATATATATATATATATATATATATATATATATATACCATGCATGGTCCATCTTGAATTGACATTTATAAGCATTTTCTTTCGTAAAAAAAAAAAAACCATTCTAATAGTTAATTTTAATTATTATATAAGTACAAATATAAAATAAAAATATAATAAAAATATTTTGTCAAAATATAACGCATAACAATTCAACAAAGAAAAGAAATAATTTAAAATTAAATTAGAAGTGACTTTCTTCATGCATATTTAGATACAAAATTATTCACCAAATTCTAATCTCATTTCTTCTGAAATTTTACTTTTAATTGTAAGTAAAACCAATATGTAAATTATAGAAACATAATAATCAATATAATTACGGAGTATAAAAATAATGAATTATATATATAAGGAGTGATCACATGTGGTCATGTTATTAGGTGTGGTCATATGGTCAATTATAGACCATTAGATTAGATAGATCTAATGAATCATATTAATCAATATTTTTTTCAGTATTTTCGCGCACATTCTACTACCCAGCAAACTGTAAGGGTAAACATGTCATGAAACACCGGAATAGGGAAAATCACATTGTTGTGTGTTTTATTACACTATTGGTGCATGTTGTCAACACTGTTGGTGTATTCTGGAACCCAACCGCTATAAATGGCCACTGTAATTACCATAACACGGGAATACATCATTGGTGTGTTTCACTGTGGTGTGTTTTATTACACTATTGGTGTATGTTGTCAACACTGTTGGTGTATTCTGGAACCCGCCCGCTATAAATGGTCACTGTAATTACCATAACACCCCCACTTACTAAAACGCGCGAAAATTCTCAGAATTACCATTGCCTTTAGATTAAACTGATTCAACGACACAGATACAACCACACGACCACACCTAATGACATGACCACATATGAGCGTTTATATATATATATATATATATATATATATATATATATATATATATATATATATATATATATATATATATGCCAAGGGCTAGCCCTATATATCGTATAATGCTATTAATATTATATATGTCGTCATTTTTAGCGCATAAGTTATTAGTAAAGTGGTAATTGTGATGTTTCTATTAACAATTATGTTAAATTTTATCATTAATATATTCATAGACCCTACTTAATTAAGGCTAATAATGAAATTTCACATCGTATTCATCTTTTGATGACGTAGCAATTATAATTTTATGTCACTATTGTTTGTTACACTGATGAATAAATATGTAGTTTGGGTATGTTTTAAGGAGAAAAAGATCAATGAGATGTGAAATTTCATTAGTAGCTTAGCCATGATTAACAAATGTTTTTGAAGACCAAAGGCAAATTTTGACATATTTATTAACGAATAGCCTAAAAGTGTCACCAATATCAAAAGTGTCATTTTACTTATTATTGTTTTTTATTACGTATAAATTATATATGTTCGTTATTGAAAAAAAAAAATTTAATAGTAAGCTAATTGTCTATTTAAGGTGGTGTTTGATTGGAAATTTTGACACCATACTATAAGTTTTGATATTCATTATCATGTTTATTTGTCTACTCTTGTTATCCTACTATTTTTTTGTTAAGCCATGAGGTGTCCTGAGTATGCCCTAACTGTAGAAGACACTTTTAAGCGTATATCATACTCACAGGGGCGGAGGCACATTGTTACTGCAAGGGGGCCTTGCCCCCCTCCCCCCAAAAAAATTAATAATACTAAATGGGGGAGCCGTGGAGGATTTATTAATTGGGCGTCTTGGGCCCTTCCCCCCCCCCCCCTCCCCCCCCTCTTTTCCCCAAAAAAATATTAATAGTGTATTATTAATTTTTTGCCCCCTTCACCAAAGTATCAATTGTTATGCCGTGGAATCGTGTCCATCTTGTAAGGTAGACACGGTTCTATATTCATAATTATAAAACTATATATTCATAATTTTTAATTTTTATATTCATAATTATTGAACTCTATATTCACAATTACAGAACTCTATGTTCATAATTACTGAATTATATGTTCATAATTATAAAGCTATATTTCATAATTTTTGAACTTCATATTCACAATTATTGAATCTATATATTCATAATTACAAAATTATATGTTCATAATTATGTTCACAACTATATGTTTATAATTTTTGAATTATATATTCATAATAATGAACAGTTTTACTATTGATTGCAATGCATTTTGTGTCATCTACTAAGTTGCTTATTCAAAATTTAAGAGATAGTGGATGTGATGAATTAGTTGCATGTGTGAAGTCTTTTTGTGAAACTGTCAACATAATTGTGCCGAATTTTGATACTCAATATATTGCAAGAAGATGCGGTCTAGGCATCAACAAGATGAATTAACAATTGAGCATCATTACAAATTTGATATTTTGAATGCCGTGATTAATTCTGAGTTACAAGAGTTGAGCAATAGGTTTGATGATAAAACAATGGAATTAATTATTCTAAGTTCATCGTTAGATCCAAAAGAGATCCGTATATCATTCAGAATTGATGACGTTTGCAAGTTGGTAGAAAAATTTTACCATCAAGTTATGAAGTTAATTATTCTCAGTTCATCACCATTCTCTCTCAAATTAATATTGGTCCTCCGCTCCAACGAATCCTGGTTCCGCCCCTGCATACTCAGACTAATTCTCATTCACACCGGATCGGCCCAATTAAGAGGCAAGTGATGGCTATATTGTTTTTCCATACGAGAGAGGGGTTCAAACTATTATTAGAATCAAATCATTTAGTGATTAAAAAATTCATTACCATTGATAGTACTAATTCTTGATTGTCGGTTGTATGTACTGTATAATATGTATGTGTATGAACAAGAAGATATAAATCAAAGCCTTTTTTTTTTATATTCATATTGCACTCTTTTTTAGAGAGAAGGGAGCTAGAGAAGCATAGCTTAGAGGGAGATCGAGTAAGAAGTGTGGAGAGTCCAAGAGCTAGTAGTGAGTGGAATCCTCTAAGTTAAAGAGCTAGAAGCCCTTTTATACGCATGGTGGCGGGTTTGACCCGTCACCCCCGACTTGGACTCGGGGACTGGGTTCCGAACCGCTTGACCATGACCTGACTATAAACGTGTTCATAGACGTACAAGTGGTCGGTGTCGGGATATATATCCTATCAACCATTTTGGGACTCATCCATCCTTAACTAACCAAAGATCAATGGTTCGATCATTTGAGAATAGAGTAGCCTTAAATCTCCAGGCCAGTTGTCCCACCTAAAAGAGGTGTCTACAATTCATCGAGGGGATTAGTCACTGTGTTCGACGGTGGAAACCCTAGGTATACAAAAAAAAAACTCATTACCATTTTACTCATTTACTTTTGAACAATATAATAAAAAATAAGGGAGAAAAAATGAAAAATAAAAATAAAAATGTCATTGTCCATGTATTAAATATGAAATTTTAATACACACACACACACCCATAACACACTTCCTAGGTTGGTTTACCCCCCTGTTGTCTTTTGCTTGTTCGATTCACAAGGCGGGCTTCACCCATAGCGCATCTTCGACTTTACCTCTCGTGGTCGATCTAGCTTTTGCTATCTAGGGTGACAAAACGGGCTTCACCTAGAGCACATATTAAGATAGCAGTTGCAAATTTTCCCATAAATCAAAATAAATGACAAAATAACATTTTCTTAGTTGAGCTCGTCAAATAGAATCTTCCTAGTACGTTTACCTCTCATGTGTAATTTGTTGACACTGCGTCTCTATACTTTTATAACTTGGGGAGTCCAATCTCTAATTTAGAGAGCCTAATTGCCCGAACTATAGCTTGAAGAACCCTAATTCCAAGGTGTTGGTGGTGGGAGTCAAACCCCCACATTGCCACTTGAATGGTAATGAAGAGAATATATCATTTTTGTATCTTTTATTATTTATGAATAGGGTGTTTGGACAATTAGTTGATAATTGATTATGTTAATTATTTTGACTAGTTGATATAATTAGTTGGTCATGAAAAGATGTTTAGTAAATTAATTTATTGTTTAAAATAAAAATGTAATAACTTGATATCAATAACATACTCATATAACTTTTTTATTGACAATAATAATCAAACAATTAAAGTTTATCAAACAAACCAAAATATAGCTAATAAGGCTTTTCTAGACACCTCCAATAAGTCTCAAATTTGTGAATTTTTATTATTTATTTTTTGGTGAGAGACAGTGAGACACCATACAATTAATCTTGCGAGAAAATTTGTGAGATTTTAGTCCATTGTAAAAATTATTTATTTTCATATTTTTATAAAAGTTTGCTAAAACGACCCTTCAACCCATACTATTGTCATCTTTGTACCAACGTATACGTCTTTTGCGATGTCACTATCATCAATTAAAATAATCGCTAAAGAAAAATAAAATAAGCAAAACTTCACACGCGATGAAATTATAAAAATTTTACGGAGTAGTATTTTACGGAGATTATTGGGGTGTGTGTACGGGACTGTAGCCGTATATGTGTATTGTATGTATATATGTACGCATGTTTGTCACGTGCCAACATTGTGTGTTGAAAATCGGTGCTTAAATTACCCACCACAATAAACTTTTTCCTCCATTGATGGCGATGGAATTCAAGCACCTATCCCTCCGGTCTCACTGTTTTTAGCAAATCTTGCATCTTTCCCACGCCTCTCCGCTTTCCCTTCTTCATGCCCACAATCAATAATCTTAGAATCAGTCGAAAGCTTCAGTCTTTGCCGGCGATTCTTGCCTTCGGCTGACACCCGGTTTCTTTGCTCCGGAGACCCAACATGTCCGGCAAGCACCTCTTATCGGACGTCAAGATCTCCGGCAGGGCGCCGGAGAAGTCCAATTTCGTGCAGACCTGCAATCTGTTGAGCCAGTTTCTTAAGGGGAGAGTTAGTATAAGAGATCTGAGTCATGGAATTGGTGTTGTCAATACAGAAGCTTCAGGTAAATTTCCCCCTTTTTCTTTTCTTCCCCCAATTGTTAGTTTCATAAATCTTTTGAATTCAGATCCTGTGTTATCAGTTCCATCTATATGTTGCTGGGTTGTTATTTTCTGGTTCTGTTAGTAATTTGTGGATGAATGAAGCTTTGGAGGGATAAAATAATCATTTTTTTCTGGCCTTTCAGTTCTTGGGTCTTCCAGTTTTAGTAGTTCTGTTAATAGTAATCATTTCATTTTTCTGGGCTTTTGATTTGGAAGTGCTTAAGTTTTTTATTGAATTCTTGAGTTTGTTCTAGAAATTTGATGAACAGAATTGCCTTGTTTTAGGAAAATTTGACATTTCTCATGGTACAACTATGGATTTCCTGACCAACATAGAAAAATCAACCCAGGACCAAGAAATGGCACCCATAGATCCTAATCCTCAGAACACTGTTAATGGTACTTCCAGAACAGTGGAGGAAGGCACTAATGCAGCAGCCAGTATTAGGTTGGTACCTTAATAAGCTTTCATGGTTGTTACTATGATGTTGGTTTTGTTGGTTTTGTGGGTGAGAATGTGTTTTGCATTTGGTTTGCAGCAAAGAAGCACCAAAAGAGGCTCCCAAGGCAGCCCAGCTGACCATATTCTATTCTGGGAAAGTTATGGTGTTTGATGAGTTTCCTGCTGATAAAGCCCGGGCGGTCATGCTGTTGGCCAGCAAAAGCAGCCCGCAGAGTGCTCGTGGCGTCTTCCAGACTGCCGGGGTGGATAAATTAGACCTACCGGCTGACGGTGCTGCTGTGGTTGCCACTTCCACCCCGGTGGATCCTCCTAAGCCGATGGCTAGTCCTCCTCCCCTGCCGCCACCGCCCGTGCCACCACCAACACAGCCAGCTGCAGCTGCACCTGCACCTGCACCTGGTGGGTCCGGTAATAGTCTTTTTGTCGAGTCATGGAGTAGTCGAAACCGTGATGGTATATTTTAAAGCATTGCAATGACTTGATGATTATGTGTTTCAGATTTGCCAATTGCAAGAAGATCGTCACTTCATCGATTCCTCGAGAAGAGGAAAGATAGGTACGATGCGTTCCATATCAACTAAAAGCTTTAATTAGTTCCTGATGAGACTACACGTATATATTATATGCTCAACACGTCCTTCACGTGTGTGGGCCGAATATTGTATGATTGGTCAAGCAACACGGGACTCTTATACTAAATTGAAAGATGCATTCCATTTCAACACTTCAATGAAGCTAGTGAGCGTTTGTATGATTGTTAACTCCATCCCGTTGTTTGGTGTTGTTTGTTTAGGGCGACTGCTAGAGCACCGTACCAAGTTCACAATAACCCATTGATTCCATCAAAGAGCGAAAGGCCATCTTCCAAGAACGAGGCTTCACCATCCAAGAACGAAGGATCGTCCTCCAAGAACGAGGCTTCATCTTCCAAGACTCGAGATCAAATCGATCTCAACTTCAAGCTATAGATCAGACATTCAGACGCCATTAGCTTCGTGCTTCTGTTGGGACTTTAGCTTGCCTCTATCCACTCTGCAGGCCTCCTAACGAACCCTTCGTTGGCTGACTTTTTCTCTAGTGGAATAGTGGATCACTATATTTATGCATACCTTTTATAGAATATTGATGATTTGTCTTACAGTTCAAACATGTTAATATCCTTAGATAAGAGATTTAACGTTGTTAATTTACCATCTATTATTATATATGTTATATATATTTCTTTTGCACTGTTTTTTTTTTTTTTTTTTTTTTTTTTTTTAAATCTTATGTAAGAAGCAAACCAAATAAATTTACATGAATCGAGGCCTCAAAACACTAATAATGTTAAAGAGTTAATTCCAAATCTTACTCCCTCAAATTTATTTTGTGATAGACTTGATAAGTTATTTTTTTTTCATGTGAATCCCTGTTAAAGTATCTACATCAATATTTAAGTTTGGGAAGAAAAATTAAGAGTAGAAAATGAAAGTATATATATAGTATTTTCCTATAATCTGTTGCCCTTGCATGTTTATCTCTATGGATGTGGCGAATCAATTAAAATTAATGCCATTAATTTCTTCGTGTCCCTTTCAGAGTTGTCATCTTAATTGTCACCAAGAATAAATTATCTTTTTAATCGGCACCAAGAATTTGACTTCAAACTCGACATATTTGTAACATATTTTACAATAAAAATAAAAACCAATTCCAATTATCTCTTTCTTGTCTCTTTCAATGTTATCTTCTTAATTGCCACAAAAAAAAAAAAAAAAAAAATCTCAAACTCCACATGTTTGTGAGAGTAACCATTTTTCCGACAAAAATAAAGACGTAGAAGAAAGCTCAATATATTAATGGAATCAAACCTACTATGATGTGATTCAATAACAAAAATGTATTTAAAAAAAATTGGAATAAGAGGTTGATAAAATTAGTTGGATATTTTTATTAGTTACTCAATATACAAGAATATTTTATTTTACAAAAAAGTATAATAAAAATCTTGAATAAGCTAGATGAAATTAGTTGGATAATTAACCCAACAGACAATAATATTTTATTTTGTGACAGAAATATTTGTTCTAACTTCTAGTAATAAAGAAGTCCAGTAGGTCTTTAAATATTTTGATAAAATGTAATTACACCCTTGAATTTCAAACAAGTTTTAAATAAATGATTGAATTGGGAAAAAGGTACAATTGACTTCAAGTTGAAGATCTTTATAGTAAATGAATTCAAAGTGTTACAATGAACATCTGCTATGAGATGCATGCAAATTATTAGGTGTCCAAGCCTCGTAAAATGCCGGACTGGGACGGATTTAATTATTGTTAATATTTTTTTAGTAAAATCTGTTAACGTGTACACAATTTTTTAAGTATGGTTTATCTTGTCCACACCTTCGACTACACAATTATTGTGTGAATTATGATTCACGTAGATATATTATATATGGACCATGAATGTAATATACATTTTTTTATATTAAAAGTACATTATTTGTGTACTGAATATACATTATTTGATAATATATATAAAAAATCATGTATTTTTAAATAATGTACTTTATGTATACAAATAATGTACTTTTAGTATATTAAAAATATACTTTTTATTTGTGATTCACACAAATATGTGGACCACGGTCCATGGAATAATGATTAATTTCGACTAATAACTCCAAATTTTCCTTGTGTCACACACAATTAAAAAAAAAAAAAAAAGTGCTCAAATTGAGGATGGGAATCCATTACAAAGAAATTCTAATTTGCAAGCCATACTCGATTGATCATTTCTAAACTGATGAAATTAGTTATTTGTTCACTTTGATAAATGATATATTGGTTGTTTTTAGGGAGAAGATAATTTGATTTGGGTTAAAATTAAAGCCCAATTTGGCTTACATTATATCATTAATATCATAGATTTATAGATTTATCTTAAACCAATTTGAAGTAATGTCAAACATGTTCAAGTTTATTTGGAGTATTACAGCTGGTTTGGTTCGCTGGAAAATATTTGAAGGGAAATGGAATTAAAATTTCATGGAAAATAAATTCTAGGAAAATTGATTCAATTGTTTGGTTGGTGGAAATGAAATTACTGGGAATATGAATTCCATTGTTTGGTTGGATTTAGAAAGATAAGGAATAATGAATATAAAGACCAATATGCCCTTAAAAAGATGAATGAATAAATAGGTGTCTATGTAATTAAGAAATTTTCATAAGGGTAAAATGGTACACTCATGTTATTTTTCTTCCCAATCTTTGTGGAAAACAAAATCCCACCTCTTTGCAAAGTATTCATTTTCCTCAACTTTGAGGAATCCATTTTCCATCCAACCAAACAACATAAATCAACATTTTCCTTCACTTTGAAGAAAACATTTTCCATGGAAAATGTTTTCCATCCAACCAAACACCCCCTTATAAAGTTAACTGTGTGAAGACCAATCTGAAACCAATGAGTTATTTTAAGAGAAAAATGTAATTTTAGTTCTTCAATTGTTATGTACTAACGATTTTAGTTCATAACTTTTTTATCGTTGTAATATATATTCTTAACTTTTCAAAAAAGTTGTAATTCTCCTAAAACAACAAAATTATTAAACTCTATTATAATTTTACTTAGTACATAATATTTTAGTACTTTTTAATGTTTCTTCTTTAATTATAATCTTGTTTAGTCTCGATATTTTATTTGTAAAATAAAAAACATGATTTTAACAAAGTCATGTATAGAAAATAGAAATAATGTGCCACAGCTGAAAAAAAAAAAATTAAGGAAGAATGTCGTCAAATCTCTATTTTGCAAATTAAATACTAAAACTAATAATGTTATAAAGAATAAAGATAATAAAATTTTAAAATATTTAAGTACTAAGTAAAATTTTAATAGAATTTAAAAATTGTGTTGCTCTAGGGGGTTATAAATGCAACTTTTTGAAGAATAAGGGGTGCGTATTGCTATAGTAAAAAAGTTAGGAACTAAAACCGCTAGCAATAAACAATTGAGGTACTAAAATTGCATTTTCCCTTATTTTAATTTTAAACATTATTTTCTTTAATTTTTGGTTAGTTTGTTTCATTAGGTTTTTTTTTTTAAATATATAAAAATAATCCTATAAGGTAAAAAATGGGATAAAATCTCATCCATTGATCTAGACAAAATTAACAGCTCATAATGAATACAATTTTTTTTTTTTTTTTAATGCGGTGAGCCGGTGACATTATGGTAATTTTGCGTAAGTTCAAAGTTTAAGATGCGTATGTTTAAAGCTTAAGATGCGTAAGTTTATAGCTTCATTAAAGTGCATGAGTTTATAGCTTAAGGTGCATAAGTTTATAACTTTAGGTGCCTAAGTTTAAAGCTTGAGGTGCTTAAGTTTAAAGTTTAAGGTGCATAAGTTTGTATTGCTTAAGGTGCATAAGTTGATAGCTTAAGTCGTATGTTTAAAGCTTAAGGCGTATCACTTTCTAGTTTAAGGTATATCGGTTTAATTCTTAAGGTGCATGACTTACAGATTCTAGGTGCATAAATTTCAAACATAAGGTGCATCAATTTACAGTTTAAGGTGCATGAATTTAACAATGCTGGAGTAAATTTGAGGGAGTACATCAGTACATGTATTAGAATTTAAACGGTCATGTACGATTTTAGTATATTGATTCATTAAGCAAATTTGAGAGGAAAGATCAATGTTTGAAACTCTGCATGCACAATCCTGACATTATGAGTTGGAGATTAAACTTTTTTGGGGAAGGAGAAGAATTCAAACTGTAATGTTGTTGTTGTTTTTTTTTTTTTTTTTTTTTTTTTAAAGGAAACTGTAATGTTTTGAAAAAGGAAAAAAAAAAAAAAATTCAAACTGAAATTTAATTGAAAGATTCTTGTTTCAGAACTGAATAGCCAATTGCAATGAAGGAGTAACTCGGCTACTACGTACGAGTGAACGACCAATTCCAGAACGGCAATTTGGTAATTTCGCTCTGACGGTAATTTGGGCAATTTGGTACTATCCTCCATTGTCCATTCCTCCTAGTAATATCCTTTCCTTTTTTATTTTTCATTTTTTTTCTTTTTTCTTTTCTTTCTTCTTCTAGGGCCTTCTTCTTCTCCCTTCCATTATTTCTCCAAACCCTACCCTGCTCTCCCCGGAAATTCATCTCCGATCATCGTTTGAACCGATCGGCGGTTGAGAAAATGCAGCATCAGAGGCTGAAGCAACAGCAGCAGCAAGCCTTGATGCAACAAGCTCTTCTCCAACAACAGCCCCTCTATCATCCTGGCCTCATAGCTGCTCCTCCGGTTAGATCTCTCTCAATTCTCGCTATCTCTCTCTCTCTCTCTCTCTTTTTTTCAGTGTATGAAAATCGTATTACTTTGAAATCATAGTAGAGTAGTTTGCTCGCCGATTGTTTTCCTTGTTTTGTTCTTCGTTTTCGTCACTATTCTAGGGTTTGATGCGTAGGCTACTGCATGATTATATGATTGTGTGTATGAGGTTTCAGCATGTATGTTTAGGATTGAGAGAAATAAGAGCTTTATTTGCTCTCAAAAAGCTCGTTCATTATTTTTTTTTTGGAAAACAAAAGCTCGTTCGTTATTAGATCAAAATTTTGGTCAGTTATTTGTCTTTTTTTTTTTTTTTTTAATATATATTTAAATTTAGTGTTTTATTTTTGTTTTTATGTGCATGGTAATTGAGCGCCTGGTTGCTTAATGCTTTGATCACTTCCTCTATGGAAATTAAACTTCTATTTAGTTTAAGTGTTCAGACAAGACAAATGTTTTTTCTTCCCAACGGGGTGAGCATGTGATGGTTGAGTGTCCTGCTTGTCTCCTTCGTTCATCTTTCATCTTTTTTCTTGCATGAGGGTAATGCATAATTGCAACTAGTCTCTTCTAGGTTGGTAGACAGTTATGAGCTACTAGTGGGTGTAATGCTGCGTGTTTCTATGTTGTTTTTCTCATAAATAGTGGAATGGTTTTTGTCAGTCAGTAGAAGCTGAAGGCTCCAATGCCAGTGACCCCAGTGTCTGTCATTCACTCTTCGAGTTTTTATTGGAAATTAATTATACACTGCATTGTCAATTTTCTGAGTTTATGCAATCCAAATAATGAAATTACAGCTATTATTGTGAGTTGTGACACTATTCTACTTCATTAAGAGTTCCTAAGAAGAATGTGCCAACTGCCTACTTTCCTTTTTAGTTTTATTAACAGCTACCAGCCAACCTGCTAT